ATTATAAAACAAGATAATCTTTCATGAAGTCAATGAAAAAGATTTATGCGAGATATGGCATAAAACAATCAAATAATTCGGCTTTGGACTAAGTTTGTCAAGGTGGTAGAATATAAGTGTATGTGAACTCGCCTCCAAAGTAAAAAGTTACGAATTAAGGATAATGGCACTTTAAGAGTAAACGAGTACCCCAGAGGAGTAAAAATGGTTGACAGAAGGAATGCTATAAAATGAGGTAGAATTTTAAGGGCAGTTGATGGATGAGTGGGTTTTCAGTCGACTACGCGATTCACACGGAAAAAGCAATTAGCGGGCAGCACTTCGCGTATTTTTTGCTCCATGGTGTGTCTGGTAAAAGAAAAAAGAGGGAATAAAAGCAGTAGAGTTAGTAGAAAACGGTATATATCGCACTCAAAATGTAAAAAAAGTTGCAGACATGTCCTAAATTTGGCCTGTATGTTCCTGACTCTATAATCTTAATGTATCGAGTCTATTTTGGTCACCAGTGAATGAACAGCTCCAATAAGTCCACCAATCAGTGGCTGGCTTCATTCAGTCCTGCAGCTCTACATCGCCCCACACTTCATTCTAGCCATACTTCTTCCGCTTAGGTGGATGTTAAGGACAATGACTAATTGACAGCGTCAGCTTGGGTGGAGACACTTCATGTGACATTTACCTTTCGTATATAAGTGTCCCATGAACTAGGCAATCCCACTCCCACCGACCGATCCATAGCTTAACTGGTAGCCCTATTCATCACCCATCCTCATGCCTCTAGACTATTTCACTGAGCTGGCCAGGGGTTATTACTGCAACTAAGAGTAATATTGTAGATATGAGATGAGAGAAATTCTTAGCACTACGCAACATGGCACTCAACGCAATCGCTCTCTCTTTTCAGGTTTGTACCGACTTGCTTAATCCTTACGATATTGCAATGGTTCTGGGCGGGGTGTACAGAGTGAGAATATATATGAACGTGGTTTCGATGAATCTCCTGAGATAACATTGTTGGAGAGACCTTCATTTCGTATGAAGAAGAGATTCGTGGGTTGATTTCACTCGAAGGCGACGGTTGAGTCACGTTGTACTGCAGTCATTTTGCTTTAATACGGCGTTCAGGCTGACTTAGTCCACGATACATTCTTCCTCGCTTCGGATCAGAACGGGCTAAGCTTTCTTCCTCCATATGATGGACATAATCCGAGATGGAACTCATTCTTGCAAGTCCCACGTTAGCAAACACCAAGTAAAAAGGTTATCCGGCTCTATCTTACCACATATATGCACTAAGTCAAGTTACGAAACCACTTGTCCTAACCTCAGTCTAGGGTCATGAAAGTTTAACCACTCAAGGAAAAGCGTGACTAAGGCTGTGTAAGCTGGCACGCCAAGTTTGGCTGATGAGCTTAATCTAACATGTAGGACAAATGTGAGTGAAGCTGAAACAATCAGAGCTGACACGTTGAGTTGCCTTATTTTGTATGGCGGCTCAACTCCCTCTCCTTTAATCTGCCAATCAAGCATATGTAGTTCTTCGTAGATATTAAGCCCAAGATGATGTTGCACTTACCTTTTTTGGATATGAAGATCACTCGTTTCGAGGCAACTC